CCCCCCCCCCCCCCCGCCCTCCGGGCTGCAGGACTTGCGTCCCTTCCAGCCCCGCGTCCCTTCTAGCCCCGCGTCCCTCAGGCCTCCGCCCCCACGGCGGTGGCGCCTCGCCGGAGGCCACTCACACGACCCGCCGCCCGGGCCCTCACGCGCGGTAGTCCGTCACGTACTCGCCACGCAGCTGCCTCGGCGTTCAGTCACTAGTCGCTAGAAGCAGCGGCTTGGAAAGCTTCTTCGCTGCTAGCGCCGCGGATGCAGTCGCCGAAGCCGCTGCAACATTCCTTCCGGCCTCGCCGCGTCGTCCACCTCGCGCCTGCGCGCAGCGCCCCCTCCCGACTAATGATAGGAGGAACCATAGAGGCACGCGTAGGGCCAGGGAGGAGGGACCTGGGGAGCGAGGACCATAGAGACGGCGGCCTAGCCGGCCTCCTTTGGGGTCCACCGCTGCAGCACCTTGACTTCTCCTTGAGGCGGGAGGACAAGTGGAGCTGAGAGTGTCTCTTAAGAAATCAAAAGGCTGGAGGACAGGTGGTCATGGAATTAACTGGGTACTCACTTTTTTCTCCCCCCCTGAGGTTTTCTTGTGTGCCAGGTCACAGATAAAATGACCCAGCTCTCCCCAAGGGTATTTGGTAAAGAATAAAGCATTCTTTTGGGGGTGTAATATGTTTTATGCATATGAGGAGTGTTTTGCCTGCCTATATGTAAATGCACCACATGTATGCAGTACACAAGGAGGGCCAGAAGAGAGCATGGGATACCTGGCAACTGGAGATATGGATGGTTGTTAGCTACTATATGGGCGCTGGGAACTGAACCTGTGTCTTCTGCAAGAGCAGACAGTGCTGTTAACTACTGAGCCATCTCTCCGCTTCCTCCTTCCCCCTGCCCACAAAGGCAGGCAATAGTCTTAAAAACTATTCAAACTTTGTTAAATCACTGGTTTGTTTTGGTTTAAGATTTTTTTTTTTTTTTTTTTTTGTATTTTTGAGACAGGGTCTCCCTGTAGCCCCAGCTGGCCTGGAACTCACAATGTAGACCAGGCTGGCCTTGAACTCACAGAGATCCGCCTGCCTCTGCCTCCCAAGTGCTGGGACTACAGGTGTGCGCCACCACGCCTGCCTTAAGATTCTTAAAAAAATTTTTTTAGATATTTTATATTTTTTTATGTGTGTAAGTGTATTACCTGCATGTGTTTAAGTGAACCTGTGTCAAGCAATGGCAGAAGAGGTCATCAAATCCCCTGGAACTGGAGTTATTGATGGCTGTTAGCTGCGCTGTAGGTGCTGGGAATCGAACCCAGATCCTGTGCAAGAGCAGCCAGTGTTCTTAACTGCTAAGCCATCTCTTCAGTCCCAAGATTTTATTTTTTAAATTCTCTGTGTGTGAATGTGTGTGTGTGTGTGTGTGTGTGTGTGTGTGTGTGCAGGTGCCTGAGGAGTCCAGAAGAGGGTGTCAGAGCTGGAGTTACAGGTGGTTGTGAGCAGCCCAACATGGGTGCTGGGAACCAAACTGGGGTCCTCTGCAAGAGTAGTACATGCTCTTAACCACTGATTCATCTCCCCAGCCTTAGGGGTGTGTGTGTATGTGTGTGTTCCTGAGATCCAAACCCAGGGCCTCACACATGCCAGGCAAGCTGTCAATCACTGAGCTACATTTCCAACCCTCTTTTTAAATTTTATTTAAAATTTGACACAAGGATTCATTTAGCTACTTGGACTAACCTTGAGCTCATTATGTTGCTTAAGCTGACTTTGAACTTGTGATCTTCCTAGGAAATTCAGTTGTTACCTTTGTTTTTCTTTTTTATTCTTTTTTGGAGACAGGTTTTCCAAGTGCTGGGATTGCTGGTTTTACAGGTATGTACTACCACACCTGGATGTATTTTAAGAAAAATAGGAGAAGCAATAGTTTGGAGGCATCAAAGAATGCACTTTCTCTAGGACAGTGGGAACATGGTGACCAATAACAAGAGGTATAGAAAGCCATGCCTTGTGGGGATAGCCATGTGTCAGTAAAGTAAAAACATCTGCTTAGACATCTGATGACAGAACATGAGATCTAGAAGAGTTTAAAGAGTGTGCAGGGGGTGCTGGAGAGATGGCTTAGCAGTTAAGAGCACTGGCTGCTCTTACAAAGGACCCAGGTTTGGTTTTCAGCACCCACATGGCAGCTAACAGCCATCTGTAATGACAATTCTAGGAAATCTGATGCCCTTTTCTGTCCTCCTCAGGTACTGCATGACTCGGGTTCACTTACACACATACAGGCAATACACTCATACATAAAAAAATTTTTTTTTTAAAAAAGAATCAATTTATAGAAAAGGCTATTTGGGCTTTCAGCTTTCAAGGTTCCAGTCTAAGATTGGGCCAATCCATCCCTTTGGTCTCTGGTAGGTGTACCAAATAACAATGAAGGGGGCACACAGCAGAGCAAACTGCTTATCTCATGGCCAGGAGGCAAAAGAGAAAGAGGAAAAGGCTGAGGTCCTAAAATCTTCAAGGGCATGCTCTCAATAATCTACAGACCCCTCACTAGGCTCTACTTTCTAAGCCTCCACCACCTCTGTGATGGTTTATATTGACTATTAAATTGCTAGGATCTAGAATCACCTAGGAGACAAGTCTCTGGGCAGGCATACCTACAAGATGTCTAGAACATGTTACCTTCTTCAAATGTCTTTGAGGAATTATCCAGATTAGGGTCATTGAAGGGAAAGTCCCACACTGATTGTGGGTGGCACCATCCCATGGGCTGAGGCCCGGACTGTGGAAATAGAAAGCCAGCTGAGCAGCGGCATTCACCTCTCTGCTTGCTGCAGTTGCAATGTGACCAGTTGCCTCAAGCTCCTGCCACCATGAATTTCCAAACTCTGAGTCAAAATAAACCTTTCCTGGGCCTGGAGCGATGGCTCAGTGGTTAAGAGTGTTTACTACTCTTGCAAAGGACCACAATTTGGTTCCCAGTTCCCATATCTGGTGGCTCACAGCCACCTGTAACTCTAGATCCAGGGGATCCAGTGCCGTCTTCTGACCTCCATGTGCACCTACATGCACATGCACATACATACAAACACACACAAACACATAAAAAAGAAAATCTTTAAAAGGAAGAACTCTTTCCTTTAGCTTGTCATCAGTGTGTAAAATACTAATAACTAAACCGGGCATGGTGGCACACACCTTGAATCCTAGCACAGGTAGATCTTTATGATATAAAGGCCAGCCTGGTCTACATAGCAATTTCCAGTACAAGTGGTGCTACAGGGAGACCCACTGTCTCAACCCCCCTCAAAAATATTAATAATTGAGGCTGGAGAGATGGCTCAGTGGTTAAAAGTACTGACTGCTCTTGCAGAGAAACCGGGTCCAGTTCCCAGCACCCACATGGCAGCTAACAACTGTCCATAACTCCAGTTCCAGGGGATCAGACACCTCTTCTGACCTCTGAGGGCATTGCATGACACAGGTGCACTTACACACGTAGGCAATACACTCATATACACAAAATTTAAAAAATAATAAAATATTAAAAAAAATAATAATTCCACTTTCTAATAGTACCATCCTGGGGATCATGCCTTTAACACAATTAAGTTTGAAATGAGCTGGGCGTGGTGGTGTAGGCCTTTAATCCCAGAGGCAGAGGCAAGCGGATCTCTGTGAGTTCAAGGCCAGCCTTGTCTACATAGCTCCAGGCCAGCTGGGCTACAGGAAGACCCTGTCTCAAAAAGACAAAGGAAAAAAAAAAGATTCAAATGATAGCAAAGGACATGGGCTCATTCTCCTGGAATGTGCTCTTCTGGGAGAAACAGATGATGCTGTTACTGATGACACCTTCTTAGGACTGTTACTGACATATTGTAATATTGAGGCAAGCAGTTTTGACTATACTTGGCAGACATCTCCCCAGCCCCACAGCATTTCCTGATTTCATTTCTCTGGTTGCACTTAGTTTGATGTTCATCCGACCTGTAAAATCACTCCCAGCAATGTAGGACTGTCATTATTCCGAATTTGTGTCCCATGTGCTCCCGAGAACTGTAGCCATTGCCATCGACCGATGGAAGCTGTGCTGGTTTCAACATGGAGGAAATTAGCTCTCAATTCAGGATGCTTTCAGAAGCAGTAATTTCCTGTCATTCTGGCCCATTATAGTAAAGAAAGAAAATTGATGTTATTGAAGCAGAACATGGCACACAGATGAAGTGTACTTTCTACCAGTTTAAACAAATGTATGAACTCAGTTTACTGTCACACAGTCAGGACTAGGATCAGAGACTGGAGGGATGGCTCAGCTTGGAAAAATGCCTGCTGTGCAAAGCATTAGGACCTGAGTTTGGTTCCCTAGCACCCATGTAAAAGCTGGGTGGTGCATATCTGTCACTGTAGTTCTAGCGGGTAGAGATGAGTTGATCACTGACGCACATGGGCCAGCTAGCCTAGATGAACTAACGAGCTCCAGGCATAGTGAGAGACAATGTCTCAGTTAATGGTGTCTGCAGGAGTGGTGTAGCCACTGGTAAATTGCCTGTGAGGTCCTGTAAATAACTCTCACTTATAAGTTGTCCATACTTCTGTAAATAACCTCCACCCATACTCATGCAAACAACCCTAGTTAAACTCGGTGGATCACACACACAAAAGGCGTGAAAGTAAGAGATGTGTGGGAAGAAGCATTTCAAAGGGATTGAGAGAAGG